CCATTATAGAAGTCTTCCAAGATTCTAGACCTGGTGTTTACTAGTGATGAATCAATGTTAGCTATAGATGAGCTTCCTCACGAAGCTCCATTGGGCAAAAGTGATCACCAATCATTGTTTTTCAGTCTTAAATGTTGTACAGAAAAGACGCCTCGTAAACGTGAGTGTTTGAATTTAGCGAAGGAGACTATGATAAACTCCGTGAAGCAGTGAATGCAGTGAATATTTTGTGGACCTGACGGCCTACAACCTAGATTACTCAAAGAGTTAGCAACCGTCATAGCCGTCTCTCTGACGGCATATTTAAAAAAAAAATTCGAACGAAGGGATCTCGCCGGCTGACTGGAAAGAAGCTCAAGTAACACCATTGTTCAAAAAAGGTGACAAAGGGCCTGGGCCTGGCCCGGCCTGGCCTCTTCAAAAGGCCTGGGCAACCATGGCCCTATCAGTTTGACAAGTGTCGTTTGCAAAGTTATAGAATCTATTGTGAGGGATCGATTGATCGAACATTTGACTGCTAATAATCTCCTATCAGACTGTCAACATATGGCTTTATTGACGGTATATCCTGCACCACTTACCTCATGTCTACTTTGAATGGATGGACCAGCCTGCTGGACATAAAGGTGTCCGTACACGGGGACAGTACTGGTCGCCAGTTCATCTGCCTGCACTTGAACTGTCCACGCTACTAGCCTCGTGTATAGGGGCACAGCTGCTTCAGTTGTTTAGTGGCATGTGCTGAGACGCGGCTGGGAGCAACCATGTTTGCATTTCTTCGCTATAGGCGCTTATGCGCTGGGCGATTATTTGCGTCTATTAATTGCGTCAACTGGTCGACGCGACTAATATTTGTGATGCTGACGTCTTCAGAGGCAACTAGCTGGTACATTGCAGGCAGAGCAACTCGAGTTGTTTTGAAGCAGTCTAGTGTGCTCAGTAGCGGCCCGGCCGTCAGAACTGAGCACAGCTTTGTCGCTTTCTCTCTTGCCGACTATAGCGCGCAATGCTATCGAGCTCTCGCTTACCTTCACCGTGCACACCGTGACTCGACAATTCCCAAACGTCGCACTAACGCGGGCGCAGTGTACCGAAAACACTATACTCGTGTACAGGCTCTCAGCCTGCAAAACTGTAGTAGGCGCAACTAACCGCCTCTCGTATAGGCAGCTTAAGGCCTGAGAGGCGGACAGTTGGGCTGATTTAGCCATGGTGAGAGCACTTTTGCCGCTCTTGTGAAGCATCTTGGGTCAAGTGAATCATGGCTTATTTGAACGAGAATCGTTCTAAGATAAACCCAACAAAATGAAGTCCAAATAATATCCAATTGTTCATGGAGATATTCAAAAAAATGAATAAATGTGGAATATTCGCCATGCTGGCTACTCAAACAAAACGGATATAGAAGAGAGAAACGGATATTTTGAAACTGATAGAAGACCTTATTAGTCAGGGTGTAGTTGTTTCCGACGTTGCATTTTAAGGGCTACAATAAAGAGTATAAAAACATTGTGCAGACTCGAGTTATTGAAGGCGATCTCACTATCTTTTTTCACAGACCTCACTCGACGGCTTCTAGCGACGCACTGGCGGGCGCGAACTAGAAGATATCGGCACCTTATACTGTCCTCGTGTACAGGCGTACTTGCCAGATAAACACTGAGCGGTAGACAATTGTCAAAACTACTTGCCGCCTGTACTGTCCCCGTGTACAAGCACCTTAAAAGTAGCCAGTAGAAGCAGTGTACCGCGGTTCTGCCAAGGCATTTGACTGCCAAGGCTGTTGCGTAAATTTTTTTCATAGGTCTTCGTAGGACATAGGTCTTCGGTAATTGAGAGTTATGTACTCAAATGGATCAGAGATTTTCTAGTAGGGAGTCCGTGACTCTATTGGGTCCATGTCGGACTGGGTTTGAGTGCGCAACCGCGTGCCCCAAGAAAGCGTTCTCTGGCTTGTTTTATTCGTCGTGTTTATAAACGATCTGCCAAAAGCAATGTCTAGCATGTGCTCGATGTTTGTTGACGACACAAAAGTTTCTAATACAATGAAGAATACATTGCAAAAAGGGGTCGCCCGTCGAAGACCACCACTGCCCTGGATGTAATGGACCATCATGACTCCTGCCTTCCGGAGCGTAGCCTTCAACACTTCTGGACAATCATATCTAGGCCGTGAGTCGAACCAGCCCTCGGTCGAACGGCTACTCGTCGAAGGACGATAAATTTTGAAACAGAACTATGCTATCTGAAACCTAACCTCAGATGCGGTGGTCTGGAACTCAGATGCCTCAGATGCCTGGAAGTCATATGCGATCCGCGGCCTGGTGGTGCACGGCAGGTTTTATGCAAGGCCAGAGGAGGACAAAGTTGAGTGGTTCACGGCTGATTGGTGGATGCCCGGAGAGATCCAAGCGTTCGATTCCGGGCTTATTGGTGCACAAAATTGGCTGTGCACGGCTGAGCTCCCGCAAAAAGTACAGTTGCAAGGTGATCTTGGCAGGTTAGTTGATTGGGCTGATACGTGGCAGCTGCGCTTTTAAATGCTGACAAGTGTAAAGTAATCCACCTTGGCTAGAAAGAAGAACAACAAGATTACAGTATGAGACGGCATAGTTGCAACGAGAGTGGTTATGTTGAAGTCGACAATGGAAAAAGATTTAGGACTTTATGTCGATAACGAGTTGAAATTTTCTAAGCATATTGAAGCTCAAGTTAATAAAGCCAATAAACGACTTGGACTGATCAAACGCTCCTACGAGTACTTAGATGCAGAAGCAACGAAGCTTTTGTTTGTCGCTGTCTTGCGTCGGAACCTAGAGTTTGGAAACGCCGTGTGGTCACCAAAACTAGAAAAGGACAAAAATTTAGTCGACAGTGTTCAAAGATGTGCAACAAGGATAATTCCAGGATTAAAAGGCAAGCATTTAAAAATTATGAAGCATCCAAGCCTCAGTTACCAACACCTGCGAGGGGACGTCATTGAAGTATACAAGTACACTCATCCTCAGAATTTGAAACAAGAAGCAACATTAGGAGCCACGGCTATTAACTGAAAAAACTGCGTTGTAACACATCTATGCGACAACATTTCTCTTCGCTTCGAGTCACCGACTTGTGGAACAGCCTCGCTAAAGGCATCGGTGACGCTGCGCCTATAAACGCCATCAACAACGGATGAGACACTAGACTAAGCTATGCAGGAGCATATGTTCAGTCTTGAAATGCCTAGCACCTTAAAGAGCCTGACAATAAGATATAATAATAATAATATAAATAATAATAATAGCGGTTAAGCGTTTATTAGGCCGTAGGCCTGTCGCCGATTCTTATCATCGCAGAATATTCACAGCTTGATGCGGTCTCGAACGCGCAACTCACTGCTTCAATTTTGCTGTGCTTAACCGCTCGGCATCTCGCCGAGTCTGACCAGAAACTGGCGCACAGTGCTGGGATCGAACCAGCACCTCTCTGCGCCAATCTTGGTACTCTGAACTGTAACCACTGGGCTACCCTACAAAGATCGGGTTGAAAAAGCCGGATCCCTTGTGAATCAAGTCACGAAAAGTACAAGAATCGGCGGGGGCGCATCCGTAGTCCACAAAATTTACTCCTAAATAAGCCCTGGATCCAACTTCCAGCTTCACTATGCATTAATTTTACATTGCCTCAGAGCTAAATGTCGCAGACTACGCTTGAACTCCGTAATCCAGACAAGAGACACATTGCCGAAAGATAATAGCGCCATAGGTCTTCAGCCAGTGCTTGAGCATACTCGCTCATAAGCAGGCAGTTCCTCATCCGGTTGTACCTACTCCGGCCTAACCTCTTCTGGCCTAATCTATTCACGCTGTTCCAGGTAACAACCTTCTTGCAGCCAATGACTGGCTCTACCAGGACACTTGAACCGCCTCTCTAACTTCCGGCAGCCAATGAGGTTAGGTTAGATCTGCTCAGGTATGTTTTGAGTGGAGAAATGTAGCAACTTGTGTAGGTTAGGCCTGGAGAGGTCTGGCCAGATGCAATATGGCCATGCATAACTATAGCAAACTTAAGTTGTGGCTGGGGACATCCGGCGCTATGGCTCTGAGCACTTGACTTCATAGACTGTTATAGCGCCTTGACTTCACAGACCTCTAGCGTTCCTACTTAAGGAAGAAATATGTGAACTATGTGTGAACTTTGGCAAAGCTGGCCTCAGTCATGCTTCCCCGAATCGATGACAGGCCATGGGCCTATTTCTTCAGTGCCGACACTTCTATTCTATTCTAACGCATCTTAACGTCCAGTTACTTTGATTATTGAAATCGTAGAGAGGGTCGAATCTATGCCGTCAGGTTGTTCATCTTTCGTTAACTTTTTATCATGGTTGAACTAGTATAAGGTTGACCCCTCAGAAGCCCATTTTTGCGGATGTTAGTTCGTTGTTCGCCTGTAACGTCACTGATCTCGGTGACGTCACGGGCATTAACAAATCACCGAAATGCGATCAAACCAGTCAACCAATCCGTCATGGGAATTACGTGTTTGTTTACGTTTCTCGATCTACGTGACGTAACAAGAAAGCTGAACTTGAAGACGGAACTTCTCGTGGGTCAACCTTATATAGTTCATCCATTCTTTATATAGCCGAGCTTACTGCAAAAGTGCTCAAGAGGAAGGTTAATTTTGACACGAAAATACGATACATGAAATAGCAATTTAAATTTGGCGTCGGTACGTCATTTTTATTTAGATTCATGCAAATCCTCATTGCGCTTTCATATTATGCAATTTCTGCAATCTCCCTTGCCTCTTGCATCGAATATATTTACTCCTGTCAATTTCTACAAAATTATTGTTAGAGCAAAGAGGTGTTTTTTCTAGTCAAACTTTCATTAAATCTCTGTTTTTTGTGTTCTAATATGTGAAACTGACAACAGTATTCTTCCAATGAGAAGATATGAGCCAGGAACGCGATAGCTCTTACCAAAAACGAATAATTATATGTATGTTTATTTCTCTGCCCACAACTTTTGAAAGTTTGCTTCCTCAAAAAAAAAATCAATAGCTTTGTTAGCTCTTCACAATAAGGTACCAATACTAGGTTAATCTGGGGTAATTTTTTTGCTCTCATGGGTTAATTATAAAAAAAAAATCCTGAGTTCAGGTTGTTTCGTTCGACACCGACGGCTCGCGAGTCACGTTGAGAGGGTCAAATTCATTCCCGTGAAAAATATAACTTTTAATCTTCAAAATGATGGGAATTCGATCTGCCATCCGCCTGGTTCAACCAGCCAAGACTACGGTCAACAGTTTCAGAACATTTGTTACTTCAGCTCCTCCACTTTATAAGTGTACTTTTGCGGTAAGAGTATTGAATCTGTTTAGGTAGGTATATAGCATATAGGGCTTAGGGTATTGGCATGTATAAGATTAAAATTTACTTTTTTAATTGATAGTTTTATGCGCATAAGTGATTGTAATCTATTTTTTACAACACTTCTCTTTAACTTCACTTCTTGTTGTTTGTCTGTCTGCTACAAATCTTATAATCAATATTTAGCTAGCCTAACCCACTTATAAAGTTTTAGATGTTATCCATGCCTGGTGGCCATTTTTGCATGATGGGGTAATAAGGGACACTCCGGGTAATACAGGACACCCCTAAAAACGTATTTACAGTAGAACCTCAATTAGCCAAGGCTCCAGTTAAAAAATTATTAACAACAAAGAATTTTGATTACATTTACTTCACCCAGCAAAAAAAATTCACACATACAAAAAATTGATCCATCATTAGTCATTAAAAAATTGCGCATAGAATGTCATAGATAAAATTGCGCACCAGGAATAGGTATGCGACCTTTTCAGTTTCTTGGGTTTCCTGAAAAATTTGAATTTTCATTTTTTCCCCCACTCTAAAAAACTTAATAACTCCTACCAGTATTCAAGCTCCTGCAATGAAAGACATTCAGTTTGTAAATACTGTACCAAGCAACTCTAGGAGCCCATCTTTGGATTTGTGCATGGTTTGACGAGGGGGTGGGGCAGGGAAAAACGTGCATAAAAGAAAAATGATGAGGAAAATAAAAAATTGGGCTCTAGAGCTGCTTGATAAATTTGTTACAAGTCAAATTAAATGTTTCTCAATATTGTAGCATGGGATTTGCAAAAGTTATAAACTTTTTAAAGTACCTCTCTTTTCTGCCATTTTCTTTCATTTTTTCACAAAATTCACATGAGCAAATTTTTTTATTTTACCTTCTATGTATGTGTGGGAAATTTCAGAAAGATTGGTTGATAAATGTAAAAGTTTTTTCACTATATCATTAATTATTTATATTTAGTGACATTGTTTTTTATGTCACTAAATAATTTTTCTATATATGTCACTAAAAACTTTTTTCAGAACCAATTTTCAGAAGTCCTGTCATGTCACGTCACTAACCAGGGGCGCCCTTGCAAAGACCATAGTTACTGCCAATCCTAGAATTGCACCATGATTACATGAGACATGAATTTCAAAACCAATCTAGAATATCAGGCAGAATTTTCTGAAAATTGTTGGTACTGTCAACCAGGGCTACTTGGGACGGGCGGGGTAACTCGGGACAGTCCTCCGACACGGCGTAAAGCTGTTTTAGTAGCAAAACTAATTGGAATATTGCAAAACTAAATATAGTGGCATAAACGTCAACATTTTTCCTATCTATGTAGTATAAAGGAAGTTCAAAAATACTATATTTATACTAGCTTTGAAAAATTCATGAAAAAATGGTGAAAAATGATATTTTGAAAAGTTACTTCTGCTAAGGTCTTTAGTAAAAAAAATATTTGCTGTATTAAAAAATTTTGCTTAGAAAAAAGTGGAAGACAAATGTCAGCCTGAAAACTTTTTTTGCGGAATTTAAATACCTCGATCAAAAAAAAAATGGCGGCCATTTCCGCACGGCGGGGCTACTTTTGGGCACCCCCAAAAACGCATTTCCAGTAGAACCTCGGTGAAAACTCCAGTTAAAACAAAATTTTATTAAAAACCAAGAATGTTGATTACATTTACCTCGCTCAGCGAGAAAAATTTCACTTATCGAAAAATTAGTGCATCATTGCTCATCACAAAATTGTGCATAGAATGTCATATGTAGAATTGTGCTACAGGCATCATAGAATGAAAAGTAATTGACCTAAACTATGATTTATTTCTCCAAAAAATATGATGGTTGTCACTAAAACATTCCTTTCTGTTTCAGGTATGTTTATCACAATCTTTTTTTTATAGTAAATTCATTTAACCCAATTAAAATGGTGTGAAATTACAAGCCATCCTGTAAGCTTACAGATACAGAAATATGCTATAAGGCTGCTGATATGAAGCTTGCAGTGGACAAGGTTGTTGTAAATGCTCAATGGCATGTTCATGGATTTGGTAATATCGCATCAATAATACAGTAATTAATGTACCATAAAATGGGGAAACTTTGACCACTTTTTTTTTAATGATGCCATTCTTTTACTAGATAAGTTAAACTTAAATTGAAACATGCAAAATACAGGTCTGTACTCTAGCTTTACTCACCATAAATTGCTGGCTCCTGCCTCTCATAGTTTTGATGTAATTTTTTTGCATATGTAACTAGAAGAGTTCTACTACAATGCATCAAAACCTGGAGTTATTTTACCAAAAAATAAAAAAATTGGAGGGGGTACTCCGACAAGCTTTGAATAATAGCTCTTTTTTGTGGGGCACATTATTAATTTTTTAACCTATTAGATATGCAAACTTTTTAAATCTTTCTATTGTGTTATAAACCTCAGTATTAGGCCTTTAATGGCCATTGACAAAATTTTTCTATCAAATTGTTTTTGAGTTTTGGGGGTTTTTGTTAAAAAAACAAAAAGTGGTATAAGTTACCACGCCAGTCAAAGTAACCCCATTTTACGGTATATGGTAATATATCAATAAAGGAAAGACAAGTAAAAATCACAGAAAATGTAATTTATTTCCACCTCTACATCATCTACAATGAAAGAGGACTTCAGAGTACTGTTAGTAATGGATGAGTACACTCTGCATGCTTCAAATGTTTTAAAATGAAGTTTTATTCCAAGTGTCCCAACTAGCCCCATTTGGTGGGGCTACTCGGGACACTCTTTTTTTGCTTTTGGCACCTTACGAATAGCATATGGAATTTTTTTGGAGAAGCCATGTGATAGCCCTTGCAAAGAGCTTTGAAATGAGACTAAACTTGTTTATGAAATGTGTCATGGTAAGAAGTTATGAATGAAAAACATTCGAAATCGTCCCGAGTAGCCCTGGTTGACGGTATCCACAATCATTTTATGGCCATTTTTTGGAAAAATTGCTGGCAAATATGTGTCAATGTATAGACCGTCAAATGGGGTAATAAGAGACAGTTTTGAGCGTTTTTTGTTAGAAACTTCTTACCATGAAACATTTCATAAACAAATCTAGGCTCATTTTATAGTTCTTTGCGAGGGCTATCGAATGGCATCTTCAAAAAATTCCATATGCTATTCATAAGGTGCCAGACGCAAAATAAAACTGTCCTGAATTACCCCTGGGAACAGAGTAATCCGGGACACTTGAAATAAGACTCAATTTTAAAATGTTTGAAGCATGCAGAGTGTACTCATCTGTTACTAACAGTATTCTGAAGTCATCCTTTTTCATTGTAGATAATATAGATGTAGAATAAATTACATTTTTGGTGATTTTTACTTGTTTTTCCGATATTGATATATTACCTTATCCATACATTACCGTATTAGTGATGTGATATTACCTAATCAAGGGACATGCCGATGAGCATTGACAACAATCTTGTCCACTGCAAGCTTCATATCAGCAGCCATGTAGCATTTCTTCTGTGGGTAAGCTTAAAGGACAGCTTGTAATTTTGCACCATTTTAATTGAGTCAAGTGAATTCACTATAACAAAAAAATTGTAAAAACATACGTGAAACACAAAAGAATATATTAGTGACAACCATCATATTTTTTGGGAATACTCCATTATTGAATATACTCATCCATTACTGAAAGCACTCTGGAGCCCTCCTCTCCCTTTTGTAGATGATAAAGATGTAGAATAAATGACATTTTCTGTGATTTGTTGCTTGTTTTTCCTAAATTGATACCATATTCATTCATTACCATATTATTGATGTGAAATTACTGTATCCATGGACATGCCATTGAGCATTTACAATGACCTTGTCAACTGCAAGCTTCATATCAGCAGCCTTATAGCATTTTTTCTGTATCTGTAAGCTTACAGGATGGCTTGTAATTTCACACCATTTTAATTGGGTTAAGTGAATCCACTTTAAAAAAGATGGTAACAAACATACCTGAGACAGAAAGTAATGTTCTAGAAACAACCATCATATGTTTTGAAGAAATAAAACATAGCTTAGGTTAATTACTTTTTATTCTATGATGGCCAGTGCACAATTCTATAAATGACATTCTGTACACAATTTTGTGTTGACCGATGATGCATTAATTTTCTGATAAGTGAAATTTTTTGCTGATATTAATATTTTGATATTGATATTTTTGTTAACTGGAGCCTTTGCTAACTGAAGTTAAACTGTAAATGCGTTTTTATGGGTGTCCCTTATTACCCTGTTGTGTGGAAATGGCTGCCATTTTTTTGGAATGAGATAGTAGGCAAATTTCGTCAATCGCGGTTTCACTTTTTTCAGCAATTTTTTAGAGATAGTAAATGTATGATTTCTTAACTAACTTTATACATACTAGATAGTATAAATTTTGACATTTATGTTACTATTTTTAGTTTTACAATATTTTGATTAGTTTAGCTGCTACAACATTTCTACGAAATCTGGAACATGTGTCCCGATTTACCCTGCCTGTCCCATATCTGTCTCTTATACACATCTGATGTGTATAAGAGACAGATTGAATGCAGTGCAGAAATTCAAAATCACCTAGTAGTATGAATTCAAGTCCCATGACTGGAGAAGATTTCAAAATTTATTGTACTATTATATAAGCTTGATATAAGCTTATTGTCCTTTTGATGAACAAAGTTTATTTAGGTTCTATTGAGGCAGAATGATGCGACATATTAGCGGCCATCCAACAATCGGTCGATGGCTTTGACTCATGATACTACTGTACAAATATTGCGGTAGAAACATCATCCAAAAGTTTCGATGCAAAGATTCTTATTTAAAGGANAGATCATCAATTATCAAAGAAGCTGTAAGAAAAAAATCGTTGTTTTTGATGTAAAAGAATGTTTTTAATTTAAAATAAATGCAATACTTGATTTTCATAAATATGATGTAAAAATTAATGATCCCTATTAGAATTCA